CCCTTTTATTGAATTACAAAATGTTAATAATGATTTCTTTAATAGATTAATCATCATTTTTGAATGTATTAATATAATCAGGTCTTTCATAAAAAGGACAATCATATCCTACAAAATGTATTGTATAATTAAGTTTTTGTGGTAATATTGTAATTTATGATTATCTATCTGTTATATTTAATATAATTCTATCAGAATTTAAATAATTATGTTAAATATTTAATTCTTTGAGTTATTTGTATTTCATTAAAATATCTAAACATAATTGAATATTTTAAGCAATACTTAATCGTATAAATTCAATTTCCTATATAATATATAAATGTGGTTACTTATAAATAAAGTAATAAACTTAATTTGATTTACATTGAATTATCAATTGTATATTCAATAATCTTTTAATACTCATTTAATTTGAGATTCTAATATCCATCACATTCTAATATTCTTCTCATTTCTTCATTTGATTTTTAGTAACTATAAGTTTATGTGCTTTTATAATTTAAACCTTTCATTATAGAATTTACAAAATTTTATATTATTTTATAATTAATAATTATTTGCATATTTATGATTATGAAACATTTTTCAGTATCTGTTAATCTTAAAATCATTTATTTTTGTTATCTATATAATTATTTTTCATTTAACATCTAATTTCAATTAATTTGAATGTATTTAGAAATTATACAAAAATCTAATTTTAATATCTATTTGAAGTCACTCCAAAATTAAATTAAGCTCTGTAAACCTTTATAAAAAGTTCTAAATTACAAGGAAATATTCATATAATTAACTTCTTCTCTTTTTCATCTTTCTTGTCTTTTGAATACCCAAATGCTTATTATGGTGTTGTAAGCACATTAAAATTCAATGTAAAACTATTACTTTTTAGTTGAATTATTCAAATTTAAATATATTGGATTATATATTTAATTTTCTCCTGAAATAATCCCCTTTAGTGATAGTATTTTAAAAAAAGAGCCAGGAATTTAATTTCTTTATATCATATTGTCTTTGGTTAACTGATATTTTAGTTTATCCGAAAATTATACATCAACTATCCTTAAATGTTTTCTATTTTTCAAAATTTAATTTAACATTGACTATATCAAAAAAATAAATACAAAGCTGTTAATTTTCTTCTTCCAATTAAGACAGAATAAAAATATGAAAAAATCAAAATTAAACAAATAAAAAATTTGATGAGATAGAACTCCTTAGATAATTTCAGTTCTTAAACGCGCCTTTACTTTATTTAAGCCAATTTTTTAGGGTTCAGATAAATAAGTGTAAAATGACTTAAAAAATACCAAATAATTTTAGCATTTTTATACTCGATATATCGTGATATTCATACTTCTTATAAATTTAGTCTGGAACTTAAGTTATTGTTTTTTGTGTTATGTTGGTCTGCTTGTTCGTTAATATAATAATTACTCTGAATAAATATTCTAAATGGCAATTTCAAAATTAGATAGAAATCTAGTATTTTTTAAATTATTTTTAATCAGAAAATATTTATATTATGTAATTATTATTACTAGAGTAATTGAAATAAATATTTTTTAGATATTTACATTCAACACACTTTTTACAGTTTGGTATTATAGATCATTCATTTGATTAAGAAATATGATATTTTATATCATTATTGTTATTGTTTATTTATTGATATGATAGAGATAATTAATAATTCTCTAATTTAATTAAAATCTGATAAAACCCTATATTCAATTTTAGATTTAACTAAATATTAGTTTATCAATAAGAGAAGGGCAGGATTGAATTCTTTATTTTAAATTAGAAAAGTTATATGAGTAAGAGAACAAGGAATTCTAAGCCTTGTATATTAATAGTATTATATAATTTTAGAATTTTTTATAAATAACAAATAATGATAAATCAGGATAGATCATAAAGTAATTTTCTAAAAGAGGATTCACATTTACCAGTTGAAACAATTCTATTTTAAGGAAAGAAATATGTTCCATTTTTCCTTGGAGGCTCATAGGGATATTATACAGACTAATAACCTATACCTCCTTATGATGCATTCGAAATGATTTTAGAAGTGCTAGCAATGATAGAATTAATATTAATGTGGGTATTCTTTGCTCAATTGTACAATTAAGTATCGAAATTTATAATCATTGCTAGCTTGATTTAGTGATTCCAGTGTTTTATAATGCATTAGGAGAATAGACAGCAACTGGCGATAAAATTATTTTGTTAGCAATTCCAACTCTTGGCACATTTTTTTTTGTTTTATTAACTATATTATCATTAATAACTAATAGATTTTAGTATGATTTGTAAGTGACTCCAGAGAATTCAAGAATTGTATTTTCAAATACTAGAAAATTAATTCTTGTTTTCAAAGTGATTACAATAGGATTGTATAATTTTAATATAAATCTAGGTTTATATTTTTGAGTATTGGTTCAATTAGAGTGATTCAGAATGAGATCAATGGGTATTTGATGTCATATGTTGTATTTATAATAATAGTTTATGGATTAGCATATTATTATTATACAATAGAAATGGCAAAAATAATTTGAGATTATAGAAATAGTTATATAAATCATATATCTAACAGGTATAAACATTGGTTGATTGTTTTATCTCCCCTTAGCTATAACAACAACCTATTACCTTTTACATTTAATCATAAAATTTAATAAATAAATAAATTAATTAATTGAATTCATAATTATTTGAGTTATTTATTAGGATTTTAATTCTTATCTTTGTTTAATCTTTATCCAAATTTTTCATAATGTTATTTAATGTTCTTAGAAATATATAAATTTTCTTTTACATTTTCAGTCAATATAGTCAACTCTTTCAATGTGGATTAAATAATTCGAATTATAATCAATATAGTTTTTAAATCAAAGAATCATACCTCTTTTTTATTTTCTCTTATTATATGCTTCCCTCAATTTAAGAGTAGGTTTGAGTCATTCTAATCTTAAAATCATATCCTTTCATATAAACTAATTTTTATTCTAATTAATTAAAGTAAATTTAAGGATTTTTGATTAACTATTTGTGATTCTGTTTCTAAAGCTTATTAAATTCATCTTCATATATCTCAAAAACTTAAACTAAACTATCTGAGTTCCATTATACATTTATTTAGATATAATTTTTAACATTCAAAATTGCAATTCATCATATTTCCTCACTAAAAATTTCTATCTTCTGTATTTGCCACTTAATATAGAAGTAATCCATTATAATTTTCAATTTTTAATTATCATTCTATTAGGTGATCTTGTCACAATTTTTATATTTTAGAATACATTAAAATATATAAATTTAATTTAATGCTAAGAAATTGTGTACGATAATATTTCTGTTTAGATAGAATGGTTAGCTCTAAATTACATTTTGTAAAAGAGAAAGATGCAAAGACAGATTATGTTTATTATGAATAAAAAACTGTTTTTTCAAAAGAGAAGGGAAATAAGAAATATAAATTATTGGATGTCAAAGTCCCTGATATAAATGTTAAAAAGACATAATTCTATGTTTTCGATAAAAATACTGTCCCAGTACCAAGGTAATTTTAAAACTATTCACTAGATAAGTGTATACAGCACCATTAAGAAAATATGTTAAATAAAAGCTTTAAAGAGATGAATTTGTCAGATACAAAAAAGCTTAGACTACAATTCAAGAACAATAAGAAGAATAGGTTGATGAATTATGGGGTGAAAATCCTCCAATCAGATATTTTGAAAGACTAGTAGCAAAGGATTTATTCTTTAATTATAGAAGCCCACGATTTGCTGAATACAATAATAGAAAAAATGACTTTCTTTCAAATCCCTCTGTTCATAGTGAGGTCAAAAATCTCATTTAAGAAATTAAATAGGCTTCTACAGTCTAACTCTCAAGAAGTAATTTTCTGTATTATAAAATTAGTTTATCATCCAAATTATTTTATTGAAGATCATTATAAAAAACTACCTGATCTTTTTACTAAACTCAAAGAAGCAGTCTCTTAGGCAAATTTTAAGGAAATCCCTAAAATTGCTTGGATGTTACAAAGTCAATTGTTATATAAGGAAGATATCTATAAAATCTGGGAAGTTATAGAAAATATTGTAAAACCACAAATTCATCATTATTCGGTTGATGAATTGATATTATTGAAAAGAGGACTAGCAACAACATACCCAAAAGCTGGAAGTTATGAGTTACACAACTTAATATATAATTTAGTCTCTCAAGAAAAGTTGAATGTTGATTAAACTATTGAAGCCCTATATGCATTTAGAACATTTAATAATGATAAATATGCAAAAGTCTTAATAGATAACCTTATTACTCTATTACCTGAATATAAAAATAATCATTCAAAATTAGCTTAAGCATTTTATTCAATTGCTAATAATTTGCCAAAAAAACATTTAAGAGCAAAGTCTTTTGATGTTACAGCAAATGATAAATATAGGTTAAATGTTATGAATGCTTTTGTTGGTCCATTAAAAGAAGGAAAATATAATATGGATGACATAACCAGAATTCTTTTAGGTATTTCCATATTAAAAGTACCAAGTATTTATTCAAATCTATTAAGATTTTAATGATTTAATCTTTTTATTAGAAAATTAATTACAAGAACCTGATGAATATTAATTAGTTCATATCTTATATGCTCTTTCAAAAGGTAATAATGGAATTCAAACTGGAACAAATGAAACTTATAAATATTTAGAATAATTTGTGTTAAAGTATTTTGACTAATATGAACACTTAGAAAAATCTAGAGTATTTATTTGAATTTAATATTTCTAAGATATACTATGCTTATTCATCCATTTATTCAGAATTTGCTCACAATCCTATATTCTTAAATTGGGTTAAAGAGAATATGTTAAAATTCTCATTTTCTGAATTATAGAATGTAGTATATGGTCTCATGTTTAATTAAGTAAATGATTAAGAGATTTGGTCAAATTTCTTAAAAAATGTAGCAACTAAAAGTGAATATGTTCCCTTGGCTAATTATTATGCTTTCAAATAAGCTAAATTTTATATAACATAATTCTATCCAAATTGGAATTTAAAACCATTTGAAGAAGCCTGTTAAAATGCTGAAAATATGTTCTTAGCAAATAGAACTGAAAGATAACATTTAGATCAATAAATTATAGACTTTTAAATTGTAATTAATAATTTCATATAACAAGGATCTTAATACTCATTTATAATATGATTGGAAAACATACTATAATTGGAATAACACATATTTTTTCAATATTACACTCCCAGATCATAGAGTTGCTATTATTTTGAATACTCCGCGAACAACTATTAATGGAAAACCAAGAGCTTAATTGTAGCTATAACAATAAGTAATGGCTACATAGGATTGGAAATTATTGATTTTTGATTAAACAGAACTATTTTCAATGAAAACAAAGGAAAGAGCTGCATTCTACAAAAAAACCATTGATGAAGCTATTGAATCATAGAAAGAAAAGATGAAAGCATGGGAAGAAGAGAGAAGAGACTAAATTTATGAACAATTATTAATTCAAGCTGAAAATGGTATGACCCCAGGAAAAAGATTTGTTAAAAGAGAAGATCTTAAAGGACTTTCAAGATTTCCAGTTTGAAAAATTAATGCTTTTATATACAGAAATAATTAGTTGTTTTAACAATTTTAAAATCCTAATCATCAAATTAAATCCTAAATTAATTATAATATCTTTAATTCTAAATAATTTTGCAATGATTATATAGTTACTTCTTTAACCATATGTTATTTTAGTTTATCAATTTATATTTAAATCTCTTTATTTTTTAAAATAGAAAACTTAACATCATTAAGAAAATAATTGAGTATTTGTTATTTATTATCTTTTAATTATGAACAAATATCTTCTTTGATTAGTTCGAAATCTAAATCAAACTTGAAATCTTTCATGATTTCTTCTTTATTTTCATTTATCATCTATTCAATCATTTTATTATCAAATTATAATTGTTACTTTAAATTAATATAATCATCATTTATTGCAGGATATTAATTTGAATATTTAAATGCTGTTTTAAATTCTTTGGCAATTAAGGGGAATGCTAATTATAAGATTTATTAAAATTCATAAGATTATCCTTCTTTATAATGACATTATTAAATCTTTATTAAATTCTCTTAAACATTATCTATTCTTCTTGATCTCTTAGAAGTAATTACTGTCAAACTTTTGTCAACTCCAGATAATCTTTAATTTTTATTGTTTTTATTATTATATTTTTCAAAGATCAAATTAGATGCTTCAATAAACTAATCAAATGATTTAAATATTCCTTCATCCAACAAACTTTTGAAAATTAATTGAAGGTCTTTGTATTTTTCATTGAATTGTTTTCGTTTTTCCTCTCTCTTCTTCTAATCTGTTATTATTTATTAATCTGCTTTCTTATCTCCCATAGTCATTTATTTTTCTTTTACAATCAACCTTTCTCTTTTATTGAATTACAAAATGTTAATAATGATTTCTTTAATAGATTAATCATCATTTTTGAATGTATTAATATAATCAGGTCTTTCATAAAAAGGACAATCATATCCTACAAAATGTATTGTATAATTAAGTTTTTGTGGTAATATTGTAATTTATGATTATCTATCTGTTATATTTAATATAATTCTATCAGAATTTAAATAATTATGTTAAATATTTAATTCTTTGAGTTATTTGTATTTCATTAAAATATCTAAACATAATTGAATATTTTAAGCAATACTTAATCGTATAAATTCAATTTCCTATATAATATATAAATGTGGTTACTTATAAATAAAGTAATAAACTTAATTTGATTTACATTGAATTATCAATTGTATATTCAATAATCTTTTAATACTCATTTAATTTGAGATTCTAATATCCATCACATTCTAATATTCTTCTCATTTCTTCATTTGATTTTTAGTAACTATAAGTTTATGTGCTTTTATAATTTAAACCTT